GCGTGCGGGTGGAGCATGGCCGCCTGGACACGGGGGAGGCTGGCACGGCCCTGGCACCCTGGCTGGCCCAGCAGGGCCACCCCGGCCAGCAGGTGGGTGGCAGGGGACAGAGGGGCAGAAGCACCTGGTGGCCACGGGAGTCTCAACGCCATCAGGGTGGTGCTGGTGGGGGGCTGTGGCTGCTGAGCCCCCCCACCTCTGTCTCAGGTCTCTGGGGTCCCCCAGGACTCCAGCGGAGAAGAGGATGATGGAGAAGCCTGACCCCCCAGTGCCGACGGCTGCTGAGCTGGCAGGTGCCAGCCCCCATCCACGGCGCGGGGCCCCCACCCGCTGCTGCCCCGCCAGCTTTGGTGCTCAGCCCCGGGGGGGAGGCGGGGGGACGCTGCTCAAGGCCAGGAGGGCTCGGGGGGCTCCCCGGGGCTGCTGTTGCCCTCTGCTGCTTTCTGCCCTGTTCTATTTATGAAAGACGCGACCGCCTGGCGCTGCAGACACCGTCAGCCCTTGCAGAAGAATAGTGCCTTGCCCCTGAGCCTGGGACCTGGGGGCAAAGGGCAAGTCCCAAATCCTCAGCCAGCAGCTGGGCAGAGGGCGCTGCAGGAGGGGGGGGGGGCTGCGCTCCCCCAGCTGCAGCCCCAGCCAGGCTGGGCCTTCCAGCTCCTGCGCTCAGAATTCTTCCAGCATCGAGGTTTCTCAATAAAGATGCTGAGCCAACGCTGGTGGTGGCTGTGGTGGGAGGAGGATAAGACCCCTGGGGACAGGAAGGCAAGGAGGGGGCTCCCCTCCACCCTTTGCGGGGGCTGTGAGTGCGCTAAGGGGGCTCAGCCCGGTCCCCAGGAGCTCTGCACCCCTCACGGTGCCACCTCCAGCCTCCCCAGGGCCCATACAGAAGCTGCTGTGGCCCTGCCGGTCCCCAGCCCCTCCAGCCCCTCGCCAGGCTGGCACAGGGGGGCTGCGCACACCGTGGGCAGGGAGCATCCGGATGCTGCCCAGGTAGGGCACAAGGCAGCTCTGGGGCAAATCCCTTGGGACAGTGCTTCCAAACCACCGGAAGGTGCCCAGAGCACCTAGGGCAGGAAAATGGGGGCACGCGTCGGAGGAGAGGAGCCAAGGGCAGTCCCACGGGACACAGCCCACACCTCCAACCCCAGCCCTTGCACACTGGGCCACACCGTGTCTCTATTGCAAGTTTTTATATATTTAAAACAGTGCTTATATATTTGAAACAGGCTTAAGTGCCACCCCTCCGTATTTACACCCGAGAAGCAACAAGAGAAGTCAGTGGAGCGTGTGTGAGGCAGCACAGGGGAGCAAGCAGCCTGCGCCCCGCTGGGGATCCCTCAGCAGCACTTGGGGGGATACAAACTCAAACCCTGCAGCTCCGCCACCTCGGGCAAAGCCTTGTTTTTCCGAAAGAAGAACTGAGTCTCCTCCTCAGCATCCAGGATTTCACTGAGGGATGACACCACAGGGTCATGGTCCTTCAGCATCTCTGGGTAGTGGCTCCCAGCCCGCTCTACCCGCAGCGAGCGCCGCACTGGCGTCACCAATTTCAGCTCCTGGCCTTGCAGCAGCTCCTTTCCTCTGCGGGGAGGACAAGAGCCGTTAGGTGAATCCTGCGGAGGAGCGCTGCTGGCACGGGCAGGGGCTGCTCGCTGCCAGGAGCAGGCAGCTCAGCCTTACCTGGTCGCAGAGGTCACTTGTAACTTGATGGAGAGGGGCAGGCTGGTCAGGGACCTCCCCGTCAGGCCGGGGGTTGCTGCCAGGCGCTGGCTCTCGCTCGGGTGAGGCGTTGTGGGCTCCCAGGGATCGGGCTGCTCAGCCTTGTCCCCTGCCAGGAGAGGAGAAGGGCAGTGCGGTTGCAGAGAGCGGCAGCAGGGGAGGGATTACAACAGCACTGCGCTCCAGCCCCGGGCGAGGGCACCTTGCTACGGAGGCATGATGGGCCGGGACCGTGCCCAGCCCCGGCAGAGGGATCTTGCCCCATTTTTGAGATCAGGATTCCAGACTTTCACAACACTCGGTCTCCATCAGTCAGCAGGGAGATGGGGTGTTGGGACTGTCTGCAAACCATGCCGCTTCCCCGCCTGCAGCAGCAGGGAACCCCAGCCTGCCTGCGCTCCAGCTGGCCCCCACGTGCATGCATTACCTTCCAATGTTTGGTCTGCAGCCTTCAAAATATCAAGGACAACTTCTCGGAGCTCCTGGAGTGGCTGCAGGAAAAGCAGAAGGTGGGTCAAGGCATGCCTGACTCGGGGATGGAGGCTGGAGTTGCAAATGAATGGGAGAAAAGGGGTTTGCTGCATCGCGACACCCTGTGCTGGAGACGGCGGCAAGAGGCTGCGGGATTGCCCTTCGAGCGAGATCTGTCAGCACACAGGCCCGGCGGGGCAGGCGTCCACCCTGCCCGGGTAAATCCCACCAGATGCCGCAGTTACGCCGCCCAGACCAGCACAGAGCTGCTGTCACATCACTTCCAGCTACAGCTCCAGCACAGCGCGGGGTGCGTGCCCTCCCCCTGGCCCCGTTCATGCCTGCACGGCACTGCCTGCGTGGCTCGTTAGAGCCAAAGGTGTTTCTATGGGACAAAACGGGACCGGCAGCTCTAAAGGGCTCTTTCACCAGTGACTAGCGCTGCTAAACTCATCCCCAAATCCCTGGATCTCGAGGAAACCTGCTGGCACAGGGGCAGGGACCACAGGGAGGTAGCGAAGAGAAGCGCGCCTCACTCACCACGGCGCCGGCGCAGACGGCTGCTTTGTACAACCCTGTCACATCAAAAGGGCCGCTCCGGGCGAGGAGTTTCGCTTTGCAGATCCAGAACTTGGCAAATTTCTCTGCCTGGGGCACGCGGGACAGCACTGCAGAGAGCTCCTCTGCCGGGACACCCTGCGAGGGCAAGGTCCCGGCGTCAGTTGCAAGGAATTGCAATTGTAACGGCTCTCCCAGCCTTCCCGAGGAGGAGGAGCCTGGTTTTTGCAAGTCTCCTGTGGGACCGTGGACAGGGAACAGCTTCCCTGCCTCTGTGTCCCCTTGGTACAAGGAGCCCAATAATTCAGAGGGATGTCAAGGGACAGACTCTTCAGTGCTGGCACTAACGGAGCCACTAAACCCCGAGCAGGGCTGGCGGTCAGCTTTCCCCGGAGGTGACACCTCACAGCAGCCGGGGGCGCGCCAGGGACAGATCCCAGCCGGCTCAATCAGCCAGGGCTGCTGCCACCGCAGAAATCACTGCTGCAGACTGCGCTGCCAGGCACTGGGACGCCAGCAATGATGCAGGCAAGCTCCGTGACTGGGTCTCGCTCCGTTTTCCCCGTTAGCACATCCCGCGTGCCTTTGGCCTAGCCATAACTCCACGAGGACTTTCACTTTTCCTACGCATGAGGTTACCCCTCCGGCAACCGCAGCCAAGCGAGCAAGAATTCTTGCTCCAACCCCTGCTGTGCCGTTGGGGGGACGTGGCCCTCATCTCCGGGGATGCTCCAGGAGAAGAGGGGCCCGTTCAAGCAGCTCCGTTCCCATTCCCACCTCCTCAGCGAGCTCCAGGCACTCAGTTAATAGGCTGTTGACTGTCTCCAGGCAGAGCTGCTCTGGTTTCTCCTGCTTCTGTTTCTCCTTGGCATTTCCCCAGGACGGCTTCACTGGCTTTTTCTGAAGCAGCATCATAGGCGGCCGCTTGTACGTCTTGCCTTTGGATGCCAACCACTCCTCCAGCTGTTTCCTGTCACAGGACCAAGGGATCGCTGTTACCACCCCAGCGCATCACCAGCGCCTGCCAGGCTACCGTTTTCCCTCGGAATCTCCCTCTAGGCAACTTCAGCTGCTCAGGAAGAACCAGTACCTCCATCCTAAAAACGCATCCGAGCTCTGGGCTGGGGAAGGAAAACCCTCTCAAGTTTAAGTGTGCCCTGAAGATAAAACAGGAGAGCGGCCACGCGCTGTCCTCCTGCCTGCCGAATCGGCGGGAGAGGAACCCAGGGTACCACCAAATCTCACCCCCACTCTCCTCTTTTCTGGGGCATCAACCTCCAAACGGGCATTCACTGCTAAGGGGACTTCGGACCCCGTTTCCAGCAGCTTGGTGCTGGTTCACCCAGTTAAAGACTTTAAACTCTGCTGTCCCCTGGAGGCGAGGACAGAGTCGGCCGAAGCTGCTACTTACTTACGATCCGCACCCGATGGGGTCTTGGGAACGCGCCTTGCCTGTATTCCACTTGCCTTTGGCACTGCTGGTTTAAGCTTCTCTCTCCTACTCCTAAAATCACTCTCAGTTGCTTGAGTTTTGGAGCCATGTACGCTGCGAGGCTGGTTTGGGGGGACTGTCAGTCGGGGTGCTGCCATGCGTCCGGGGGGCACCACCTTCACGTCCTTCCTATCTGCCTCTCCTTTAGCCGAGGGCCTTTGCCATCGCACCGTGCCACCCGGCCTCAGGCTGGATTTCAGGGCTGTGGGGCCCTGGGGCCTGCTGGAGGCTGGAGGCTTTGCGGGAGATCTTTTCAGCTGGGGGGGTCTACTCTGGGGCTTAAGACCTCCCGCTGCCTGTAAGCCGAGTGGCCTTCCAACGGGTTCCCTTCCCGTATTAGTTTTTTCCTGCCTTGCTGCTGGGTTTTTATGTAGCAAACTAGTAGAACCAGTAAGTAACCGAGGGGGCTGCAATGGCTGAGTTTTGACACCTGGTTTTTGAGACAGGCTCTTTGAACCTGGCAGGGCTTTCCTGAATTTATCCCCCAGCTCTTCCTTCGCCTGGCGGCTATTAATTCTGTCCTTTGGGCCTGTGATGGTTCTTGACATCGCGGCTGAGCTCTGTGGGCGAGCCCAGACTCTCTTGTTCCCGAGATTGTTTCTGTCAGACTGGAAAACTCGGTTCCGCACAGGGTGCGTAGAGGCTTGTGCTCGGATGTTTTCTTTGTTGCAGACCAGCCTGTCCTGCAGGCCCTCATTTAGGGAGCAAGGACCCCCAGGAGGGGGGTGGTCACTTCCAGGCTGAGGTGCTGCAGCAGTGGCAGTCTCCTGTGCAGGCTTCTTGCTCCTTTCTGGATTTAGGTGACCAGAGTTTGTAGCCAGGAGCCTCCCTCCGGGCTGCGCAGACCAGCTCCTGCTTGGCACGAGCCCCATGGGAAGCTTTGCACCCTTCCTCGGCTGCTCCGGACGCACCGCTGTTGCTCTCTGGGATGCATTTGAAGGCTTCTGCTGAGCAGCGTGCTGCGTGGATTTGGCACCAGACTTGCCATCCTTCTGAGCGCCCTTCACCATGTTTCTGAGAACATCGTTCTTGTTCCTGTCAACCTGGAGAGACAAAGTGAACCTCAGCCTGGAGAGCTCAGCTTGGTCAAACCCTGACAGTGTGCCCCAGCCCCTGCCCCAGCCCAGGGGACATCCACGCGAGGCCCGCGGTGACACAGCAGTTGTCGAGAGGATGATAACACAACACCCACCAGCACATCAGCAGAGGATGAGTCCCCCACACCAAGTTCCTCTGAAAAATAATTAGCGGACTTATTATCAGCTATTTAGCAATCTGCTGACTGCACCCCACTGGGGTCAGGAACTCACCACCCTGATTTGGGTACCCCATTCTGCCCAGACTCGCTGCGAGCATGAAACACAAAACTAGGCTCAGAAGATTTCTGCTTACGTGCTCAAGTTTAGAAACTGGTTCTAAGGGTTGATTCAGGCGATTCGTCTGGTCCTTTAAAAAGGGTCTGTAGGGAATCAAACAAAACATCAGGTTATTTAACAGCTGCTGCAGAAAAGGTTAAATATCTAAAACACTGAGTGTCTCAGTCACAGGAGCTTACGAGAAGCTTTTGGAAATCAAAAAGCCACGTCATATTAATTCTTTTTCTTTTGCGTGGCAACAGAAAAGCAACACAAAACATTGACATCCAAGGTTGTCACAAAACTTACGGCTTCCACTGACAACCAAAGTAACCAAAACGGTTCCTGCAGGCAGGGGGGGCTGGCAGGCAGGAGACCGCAGTTGGTTTGGAGGCTCCTGAGGCCGCTGGCCCTGTGGCCGTCCCGACTCGCCCCGCAGGCAGCTGAGGTGCCGCAGATCACAGCGGCGTCTCAGAGCGCATCGGCCGACGTTTGCTCTGCCACGGCGAGCCGCAGCACTGCAGCGGCTGATTCACCAGCGCCTCAGCTGCCCGGGCACCGGCAGCAAAGCGGGGAGGTGGGGCAGCAGCCCTGGCTGTCGGCTCCCCCATCCTCTCCTCCTCCTCCTCCTCCTCCCTGAGCTGGAGCCCTCTGACAGCAGCCAGCTGCAGTGCTCTCCCACCCCTCTCTCGGGAGCTGCCAGCTCAGCCGTTAGGGAAGGTTAATGCCTGAGCGGATATTCTTCTGTAATGAAAGAGCCTGCAGAGGGAGGGTAGGGTATCGTCCTCTATTCTACAGAAGCGGTGCACCACGCTGTAAGAGATCACAAATCTTCTCTCCTCATTTCTATGACATTAGTGGTGTTTTCCAGAGCCTGGCACCAGGGCCTGGTTTGCTCTTTCCTGCCTCACTTTACCTTCTCTCCCTGAGAAGTTTCATGGCTTCCTTTGCACTACAACGTCATAAGAAATACTCGCGCGACAGGGAGTCCTTGGAGTGTTCAGGTTTGCCAAGCACATCGGCAGTTTCAGCGAAATGCTTTGCAGAAAGGTGCCTCACTACCTGCAGCCTGCAAGTGGCTGCTGTGCTCACGGCAGCGCATCCGCATGCAGCCCAGCTTTGGAGGAGCCCAGCAAGGCAGCAAGGGGCTCCCAGAGCCAGGGAACTCATTTAACATGTGGTTGTACCCATTTCCTTTTAAATGCACTGAAAACAGCCCTTCCTAACATTAACCTATCCCAAAAGGCCACCGAAAGCCCCCATTGACAAGCAGCGGTGACACTTGAACTACCCTTTCTTCAAGACCCTGTCACGAAACCGAGTTGTTGGCAAAAAGCCCTGTTCTGTCAGACCCAAGAGCTGAGGTGAGAAAGTTTCGCAGAGACTCAGAAAGTACCCAGAAGAGACAATATCAACCAGCAGGAAAGGCCAACACTCAAACCATCCCTTTGCTCCTGCTGCCAGTAGCTCTCCAGAACGCTGCTGGGGCAGAGCCGTCCCCGGTCACGGCCGCGAGGCACTGGGAGGAGGCGATTCTCTGTACGCTAGTGAATCGCTGCAGAGGAAAGGCGGACACCGGCAAGCTGGGAAGTCAGCTTTACCTCAGAGAATCACCAAGTGATTTGGGTCAGAAGGGACCTGCAGAGATCATCTAGTCCAAGCCCAACATCCTCCTGACTTACTTTGCACTCGGACACTTGAGCTTTTCTTTGGCTGCTAGGTACTCCTGGAGACGTTTTCTCTGCTTTTCTGCAATGAGAGGGGACGAAAATGCAGCGCATGCAGCACAACCTCAGTGTTCAGACCACTGATAAGAATGGATTTCTTTTCCACTCACAGCATTACTGTGCAGGTCCCCCATGCTCCCTGCCTGAGCCTAGCAATGCTGTTCCCAGAAATTCCCAGAGCATTTCCATGCACGTGATGTTGCCCAGAGGCTCGCAGGCACATAAAGGCCGGACTCGGATGCTCGCAGCACGATGCCGCTTAAAACCTCAGTTGTGCGGGGCTCAGGTAATTTGCCAAAGGAAAGAGGAGATGCTGCCGCTGACCCTGCTTCAGCCCTGCATCCCGTAAGCCTGTACCCCTGCGGCCAGGCCCTCTGACACAGGCAAGGAGCGAGGAGCATCTCAACGGGGGGGGAGGAGGGGATACCCCTGACCCCCCCAGTTTGGCTGAGGGCCACGGTACTGGGGCATCTTATGGCAGGGACAGCCTGGCCTGGCTGGAGGCCAGCACCACCCCGTCCCCAGGGCCTGACCCTAGCGCCGTCCCACCCTCACCTGGCAGCCCTCATCCCCAGGGCCCTGGG